ATAGATTAATAAAACGAATACAAGAATTAGCACAACATGATGATAAAGAACAATTAGAAACATTATTAGAAAAAAGTTTTGCAGTTATTAATTTAACACATGTTACACCAATTGTTATGGAAATTGTTAAACATATGCCAAAAATACCGGATAAGTATGTTATTCATTTTACTTATGATAAAAATTCTTCAAATTGATAAATCAATTTTTTAAGTCAAGACTAACGAGGGAACATTCCCAAGTGTCACATCGCTTTTGAGTCAGCCGTATGGGGATTATATAGGTCCTAATGATCTATGAATCCTCCCAAAAAAAGTTCGTGCCGCTAGCTTCTTACTGCTGAGATATAGCATTTTTACTATATGTTTCGGAAAAAGCCGTGGTTCCCCTCAGAAACATCAGGAAAAGTGAGTTTTGAGTTTCAACCTAAAACTTTGCATGTATATAGGCCTCAATGAGAACAGTTTATTATGAATGTTTCAGATTTTTTGGTTGCTCCTAGTATGAGATAAGAACATCGGATTCGCTGGGGTATATGAGCAATTTTATGATAATTGTATCTTAAGATAGGTGCAACGAAAAAAGCTGAAACTTTCACAATAAAGTATTCTCATTGAGTCCTATATCTATGCAAAGTTTGAAATTGAAATTTAAAATTCAGTTTTCCAAGTGTTCTTGAGGGGGACCACAGCTCTCTTTTCTTAAACATACAGTAAAAAGGCAGTATCTCAGCAATAATAAGCTAGCGGCACGAACTTTTCAGAGAATTCATACATCGTTAGGATCTACAGAATGCTCCCTCGTAAGTGATCTATAAATATTTTGAAAAGAGTTTTGGCTCTTAGCTTACTGTTGAAGTTTTTTGAATGAATATCATCGTAACAGAAATATTGTACAAGAACCTCTATAAAAAACTGTTTGTGTAATCCTTACGGGATTAAAATGTGAAACATAACGGGGTGGTCGAAAAGTTTTGGCATAAAATGTTTGTTCATTTTTGACTCGCTTGAAAATATTTCCGACGAGTCAAAATCAGAATTGTGTACTCTTTCCGAATATGGACTTAGAAATTTTCTGTCGGTTTTGGTTTGAGAGTTGTGAAATAATCTTTGAAAAGTCTAAACAATTAGTTTGGACCTACAAACAAACAGATTTTGCTGACTCTTATAAATCCCTTTGCGAAGATGCTAAAAATTATCGGATACGGTAGTTTTGTAGAGAACAATTTTTGACAAAATGTGATAGCGAACTAAATTGTAGCTTTTACCCAATGAAAGCTATATGTATTTTTCCAAGAGTTCTTTTCCATGTAAAACACTTTTTGGTCAAAATGACGATTTAGGAAACGCGAAAATTCAGAAGCCTTATTGAAAGACAAAAAGAACTCAACTACTACATTTTGTAGAGTAGATTTCGCTCTACAAGCTGTTATAATAACAAAGATTCCAACTTTTAGTTTGGAATCCCAAAAATGTATGGAAAAAAATTCTGTCCAAACTAATTGTTTAAACCTTTCAAAGATTATTTCACAACTCTCAAACAAAAATCGACAGAAAATTTTTAAGTCCATATTCGGAAAGAGTACACAATTCTGGTTCTAACGCATAGATTTTGACTCATCGGAAATATTTTCAAGCGAGTCAAAAATAAACAAACATTTTGTGCCAAAACTTTCCTACCACCCGTTAATACAGTTGTTGTTGCTAGCCAAGAATATTTTTGTATTCGATCTATCTTGGAACACATAATTTCATTTTCCTTCATTGTTCAGAACTACAATAAGGAAGTAGTTAATATATTGTCAAAGAGTCAGAATCATTAATCAATACTGTATCCGATGGTATTCGGTTAGCATCTGTCCTAATGTATGAGAAACGAAATGGGCGTGAATTTCTTTTCTATATACTTCTACACTCCTTTTAGATTCTATTTCACAAAAGGTTTATTTCTTTAATTAGTTGCTACATTCCATAGTGCGTATTGTGGAAACAAAAATCTTTAATCGTGTTTCCTAAGAACCTCAATCTTGTAATCACTAGTAACGTAACCAGAGATCTTAAATGATCAGGCCCCACGATGTGGCGGGGGTTAGCCCCTAGCATTTTTTAAGCGTGTCTGCGAAAATTTTTAATACTGTCTGGCAAAAATGTGTAATATAGTCTGCGAAATTTAATTTTACGGCTGCAGTCGACTGGTCACGTGATAATATGAGCGGTGAAAAATTTTTGTTTTGAGACAATTTTTTCGAAGATTTTACTTAGCCCTGGAGGGGGGTAGAGGTATCTTCGTCGCGCTACCCCCATCCCGCCCCCCGATCATCACTTTGAATGAAAAATTGGGAAGTTCCCCAAAAAATAAGTGACTGTCTGCCAAGTTTTTGTGAAGTGTCTGGCAAAAGAAAAAAAATTAGCCCCCGCCACTCTCAAAAACAATCGAGAGCCTTGTAAATGATAAGGCAATATTCAGCCTTGGTCACGCTACTACTAATAAACACTTTTCATGGTACATATATATATATATATTTGTTTATCTAGATATGTAAAATATATCGTTGAACATGAACAAATTTATTCTCGTGCACCAATTGAATTAAAACGTTTAATATGGACAGATAATCATACATTATTTCAAAAAGAACTTCAACCAATAATATCTCAATATTTAACTAATGTTGAAGAACAATTATTACAATGTGATCATAATTATTTTCTTCAATTACCTAAACAACGTCGACAAACATCACCAACAATTCAAACACTTGTTCATATGATTGGTACAAATATTAAATTATATGATATTGTACGAACAAGTTTACAAAAATTATTTCAACGTACAAAAATTGTTCATTATTCATCATTACGTTTATTATTATTAATGGCATTTCATGATTTAGAAAATAATAGTGTTTCAAAATCTGATTCAATACATATATTTGTTTGGACACTTGATGCTGCATTAAAAGAAAGAAAATTAGATTTAAAAAAACAAAGAGAAATTGAACAATTTTTAGATGCACATTCACGTGATACAGATATTATTAATAAACATATACCATTTATACTTAATGATCCAAATATTATTTCAATATTAGCTAAATCATGTATTTTATTACTACATAAACAGGTTAGATATAATTAAATATTTTATTTTATTATTAAAATAAAATTAATTTTTAAAGAATAAACTTAAATAACAAAAATTAACAATATAAAAGTATAGGAGACAAATAAAAATTCAAAATAAACAAAAACAACTATAAGATTTTCACTACAGAATGAAAATTTGTAGAGAAAGACTTCTTCTATCTAATCATGTATGTATTGTCAGATTCTATTGCGCATCGTTTCAGCATTAACAAGAACCACCACCTATCGCCATAGAAACAGTACACAGTAGAACCTGATCATAGACAAACCACGTAATAGATGAAGTATTTATCTACAAGTGTAAATTGTATCCTGTTCTGTAGTCAAAAGCTTGTATTCACCTTTGATATAGTATACCACTTTTACTCATATTTCCAGATGTCAAGAATAATGTACAAGAGCATCCAGGCTTTTTTTTTAAAATCTCAAAAACATTCATATACAATTTATCTACCTCGAGCATCACATAATTTTCTTCTACTTTCCGAATTTGAAAATATTTTGCTGTAATCCCTTTAGTCACTAATTTTATAGCAAGATTGTTTTTTTGCTCTCAGGTTGATGATGAAATTCCATTACCACGTTCGAATAAAGAATTACAATTTCTTCTTAAATTACTTCATATGGGTTTATATGCATGGGATGTTCTTGATGGTGGAATTTCATATCATGATCCAATTGATTCAAAATTATTAACACATTATTTACCATATCTTATACGTTTAATAGTTGAAAATCGTTTAAATACAGATATATCATCATCATCAATATTAAAAACATTATTACCACAAATTGAATTTGTACAATATATGATACATAATCGTTTAGCATGTCAATTATTTCTTCGTTTTATTATTGAAACATATCATCAAAAACAATTTTGGTTAGCAACACAATTAATACCATATTTAAATGAACTTGTTGAATATGGTTCAGCTGATAAAATATTTTTACATCAATTTGTTTATTTTATTCGACAATCAGTTGAACAAATACATTATATTGGTATATTATTAGATAAATTTTTTATTTTACAAGCTCAAGGACATGAATTTATATTATATTATGGTTTAATATTACTTAAACATATTTTACATAAAACAAATGGTACTAATCTTGTTAGTAAATATTTATATCAATCACTTAAACCAACACGAGATCATTCAACATTTATACATGATAAATATCATCAATTAATTCGTGATTATGAAGAATGTTTACGACAAATTCAAATACGTGAACAAACACAACAACAAGTATCAACAGATAAACAAAATTCATTTTCAATTTTTCATTAAATATATATTATATTGTGTTCATTAAGAAACAACAACAACAAGAAGAAGAAAAAAAAATTAGTGTAAATTTTGTGTTTCTTTTTTTTTTTTGTTGTTGTTATTATATGTTGAAAAAAGAAATATAGAGTGAATGTAGCTCTTCTCTCTCGTTTTTTTTTTTTCTTTTTCGCTGAGATTTACTAAGCAGAAAATAGAAATGACATAAGCTCTTTTACTAACTTAACAGCAATACGAGAATGAGAGAAAAAAAATCGAGTCGTATAGAGTAATAATGAAATTCAAAAAAAAATATCTCAATTCGTGTACTTCGACGAGTACAAAAAATGATAATAGTAACATATATTTCTTATTTCGTTTACGAAGTTTAATTTGTTCATTAAATTTCAAATACTATTGTCTCATGTTTACTTTGCACTATTTGTTGTATGAAATGAATCATTGCCATCATACTCATATAAATGATTCATTACAAAGAAAACAAATAGAAACTTTGTATGACTTTCACATATTATTTTTTTGTCACAATTATTACCTGTCGTTTTCTTTTTCTTTTTCGATGTCTACACAGGGGCAAGACGTGCCCCAACATAAATTTAGCAAATCTGGACGTATACCACCTCCACTACCACCAAAATATAAAAAACCTCGATCACATTCCCTTAGTGCTGATGGAGAACAACAACATGAGTATGATTCTTTTTTATATTTGATTTTTCTTATATTTACGCATTTAAATAATTTAGATCATCAAGCGATGAAACAACACATGAAACACCCTCGGAAAAACTTAATGTTTCTCAAATTCGAAAGAGATTTGAAAATCAAACAACTCCTGAAGTATCTCAACCACAGACTTATAAAAAAAGACCATCTATGCCAATAGCAACAATTGTTCAGACAAATATTTCACCTTTACCATCTCCTACACCAGGGTCAACAAGTAAAAATAAGATTGTCTAATTGAAATCTATTTGAATTTTTCTTTTTGTTTTTTTTTTCGTGCAAGTTATAACAACACATTTTAAACAATCAAATGAAACACCTACTACTACAACAACATCCACGAAACAATCTATATTTTCAAAAGCGAAATCATCCTCACCAACTCCACCATCTGATACATCAAATGCTACAATAATAAAAAATTTTTTTCGTTCTTCAATCAATAGTATTAAAAGTGGAACTACTTCATCTATTGACGAACATGATCATCTATTGTCACCATTACCAAAATCACCTGATTTTTCACTACCACCAGAGAACGATAATAATGACCACATCAAATCAGTTCGAAAAGTAAATATAAATTATGCATGAAAATCATATTTAAATAATCAACAAAATCTACTTATAGTTTATTCAAAAGGAAAATATGAGTAATAATATTCAAGTCATTCACGTGGAAAGAAAACGTAGGTCTCTCGGTGCATTAGTTGAGTTGAGTGGGCGTCGAGTCAATCTTGAGAATTAGATATAGGTAAAATAGTCTCAGTGCCATGACTAATAATTTTCCATCGTAAGTGAAATATTTCATTGTCGGATAAGACTTGCATCAAATATCTTATTCTTACGACTCATGAATTCAAAAAACTTCATGCGAAAATTATTGAGAAATGATTAATTCAATATTGACTGTGAGAATTTTGATAGTAAAATTAATTTGTTTATTTTGTAGAATTGTTGAACATAAACTTACAGAATAAATGTCTTGAGCTTGTTTTTCGCTAATATATATATATGACTAAGCTTATGCAGAGGCCGATTAGAATTGGGAATGTGCACTTTCAGTTTAATCACCACTGATATTACTAATTGAATGTAGTTAGTACACGCTAACGTCAATGTACATTGAAGAACTGGAACATAGGACTACAAAACCGTAATATTTTAATAGAGTTGATGTCTCAATGTTACTGTGAACGTGAATATTAGTGTAATTAGCGCTTCCGTAGACCTTGTATCATGGATTCACTGCATACCTACACCCACTATGTATATGTATAGGCAAAAACATTATTGACATTGGAAGGGCACATCTCAGGAGGCTTACTTGCATTTGCTAAAGAAGTTATGAACAAAATTAATCTTTTTAAAATTTACTAAAGGCTCTAGACAAAATTTGAGAATTGTCTCAATCCGTTACATCATTAATTCAAATAGTTAGTTATATGAATGAGTCAAAAAAAGTTCTGTAGGAAGTAAAGGGTTAAGATTACACTAACCTTGATCAAATAACATTCGATATTCAATATTTTCAAAGTCTGCATTACTCTGTTTGACTAAATTTTATATTGATATCGAAATTAAATACTTGAGATCAAAATAAATCTTATTCATAGAATTTCTCATAGTTTATTCTAAAAATAAAGTAGTTAACAATTAATCTTTTATCAAATTTTTTTCTCTTCTAAAGAGATGAACATCTATTTTCATTTTTTGAAAAACTCAATGGAATCTTTGGCAATGCGCTGTTCCTTCATGTTGAATAAAATACTTTTAACAATTTGAATTTTTCTTCAGATTCTTCGACAAATTAAAAAAAAAATATATAAGAATCGAAATGATCATTTCTAAGATCTTTTATTCTTAGATGCGTGCTTTTTTCGATGAACCCAAAAATTCTCATGTTTATCAAGGATCAACATCGAATCATAATACTCAACCAATGCATAAATCACATTCATCTGGTTTAACACCAAATTCTCGTCAACCTCCGCCACGTCCACCACCTCGTCCAGAAAATTATCTTAAATCTCAAATATCCGATTGGAATTCTGCTCCATCAATTGATACAACCGATAGTATAGCCGGTGATTCTAGTCTTTCATCAAATCTAAATTTAAGTCGATGTAATTCATCAGATGTATCATTTAGTGATGAAGAAGAAGATTATGAAGCTGAACGAGTTTGTTTTATTTTTGTTTTTGTTTTTTGTATTCTATTGATTTCATGTTGTTTATTATAGCAAATTAAATTACGTCGATGTTTAGAAGAAGTTCATGCTACTGAAAAAACTTATGTGAATATTCTCTATGTACTTTCCGTTAAAGTTTCTGCTGAAATTAAAAATACATGTGATAAAGATGATAATCTTATAGTAATATTTAATAATACATATAAACCATTACTTGGTACAATACAACAAATCTATCAATTACATTATAGTATGATATTACCTGAAATTGAAGAATATATTATTGGTCAACGTACTGGTAATATGTGGACAGTATTAGAAAAAAATTTTAAAGTTATTGAAGTATTATATAAAAATTATTATGTTACATATGATGATACTCAAGGAAAATTAGATGATTTATGTAGAAATTATCCATTAATTAATGATGCTATGGTTAAATGTCAAGTTCATCTTGGTAATTTATATCCCATAACTCAATTGAATTGTCCAAATCAACGTTTACTTCGGTAATATGATTTTCAATATGAATTTTTGTTTTTCATTTTTTTTTGCTATGTTTTCAAAAAACAATAAATGAAAAAAAAAAGAAATTTCTTCGCAGTTACAAGAAGCAAAACAGTTGAGAAATCATATATTGACAAAAATATTTTTCTCTAAGAGTTAAAGTCAATTTTGAAAAAAAAACATACATACTGATATATATATACCCTTTAAAAGAGACGTCCTTTTTTGAACAATTCCTTCCCTAGAATCCTGCTGCAATCCGTACTTATACAACAAAAAAAAAAAAGAAAGTATTGCCGAAAGGACATTAAAGAAATGTTATATAGCAATATCTCTATAGGATACATCGAATTGATAAAGTCGATGAATAATTAAAGAAAAAAGTCTATATACAATCTTCTTTCTATTTTCCTACTGAATAAAACAAAAAAAAAGAAACAATATTGTTTAATTAAATATTTGTTTTTTTTTTTGTATTCATTTATATTTAGTTATATTCTTTGTATGAAAACTTATATGAAATATCTTGATCAAAATTCTGCTGAATATAAACATACACGTTCTATACATGATGAACTTGATCGTATAGCTGGACGTTGTGAAGAAGAATTAGTTATATCATCAACACAATTAAATGAATTAAAAGAACGTCTTGATAATAAATTTGAATGTATTAAAGAACATCGTAAACTTTTATGGCATGGTTCAATTAAAAAAATATCTCCACGTCGTTATAATGATATAGCACAACGTTATATGATTTTATTTTCAGATTGTATACTTGTATGTAGTGAAGAATCAGGACATAAACTTGATATAAAACGTGAATTATCAATGAGAGGTATAACGATTGATATATTACAAAGTACACGACCATCATCAATAGTATCAAATATTGATCAACAAAATAATGGAATTATATATTATCCATTTCGTGTTAATGCTGTAGAAAAATCATATGAATTTTTAGTTGAAAAAGAATCTGATCGAGAACTTTGGATAAAAAAAATTCGACAAGCAAGTAATGATTATAATCGAAGAAATTCAATAATTGAAAGTAATAAGAAAATTATAATTTTGTTTAAATAAAATAATAGAAACTAACTAACTTTGAAAAGAATTTTATTCAATATGAAAACCAAAGATCAAGTTAGTTGTGTTAGTATTGATGGTTAGTGTAGCATGTAGTATATCTTTATGCTTTTAAAAATAGGTGATTCGCTTCCTGAAATTTTAAATCGTTTCTTTGGAAAGAAAAATCTAGATAAAATATTAACTTTTTATTTACTAGTTTTCGCTTTCATACCTTAATTGAGAAGCTAAATAATTAACAAATTTGAAATCAGAATGAAAAACTATATCGAATTACATATATTATAATAAAACCTATTTTCTATGATAAATGTGCTTTGTACTTCTCACCAATGATGTTTTTTTTCAAAGATTTTGCATTTGGTCTTTATGAGATTGGTTGTTTGTGGAAAATTGTTTTTTTTTTTTTATTAAAATGCATACGACTTCTAGGTAGTTTGTTTTTTTTTTATATAATGATTTCAAATTTATGATTTATTTTAATTTTTAATTGAGTTATGACAAATGAAAACTGGAAAGTACAAGATCATTTTATACCTTTTTGTTTAAAAAATGATTAAAATTTTCAAAAATATCTTTTTCTACGCAACATCTTATGACTTGAATAAGATAAGATACTTGATTTTATCTTTTTTTCATAAAACATGCAAGTCAGATTTAAAATAGTATATCAAAACTCATGGTCTGAATTTATCTATCGTAAATAAACTTTTTTTTTTTTCTCTTGTCTGAATAATATTTTTCTATTCAATTTTTGATGCTAAATTAAAATAAAATAATTTCAGAAAGAATTAAGAAAAAAATCAATAATAAAAAACTATAGTTAGAGAGTGATCTAATTGAAATAAAAAGTATGCATTCATAACTAGCTCATTGAGTTCTATCGAACCATATAGAAAAAAAAATCCACTCAAATATTCTGTTCTTCGCATTTAACATCCAGAGATTGTCTTCAGATAGCCAAGTCACTTAGGTTTAATCTTCGGATTGTCATAACTTAGCAACTTAATTTGACAGACAACGAAAACTTAGTGTTCTAACGTATTTAATCAATTATTTGTGTTTGTAACTAATAAAGAAATTTCTTCAACTAAGGGTACCTCCAAACGTCTGAATCTTAGAATATATTTTGGTTTGGCTAAGATCTAACATGAGTTATGAAGTTTATAAAATTTGCTTATTTAGTATTAGCAGAAATACTAATCTTCTAGATATATGGTGTTTTTTGTGAAAATTTTATTCATAAAAAACTATTACTAGGTTTACCTCTTTGGAGCGATATATTTTTCTTTTCGAATAAATATTATTTTCCTAAAGCTGAAGGTACAGTTCAATGTATCATGAAGAAGAAAGATTTTGTGAACTGTTAAATTATACCCTTTACTATCGTTCGGATTCAATAAAATTTTGTATGTATAAGAACGTACTTACCAGATATATTATCTCCGTATAATAAGAGAATTGAACGTTGTTTTAAAAAAATTAATCAGTGTCCAATTCTTTTATAATTTGGAGATAATATACTTGGTGCATCGGCACTTATACATACAAAGTTTCATTGTGATGAATAAGTTTTCATGAACAAAATTTTCCCGAAAGGCATAGTAAGAGTAAGAGACTTGATAACGATTACTTTTTTTTTTTGCTGCCATCATAATAAGCAAATTTCGGAGCTCCTATTAGATCTTAACCAACTCAAAAGATATTGTAATACTTAGATAGTTTAAGATACTCTTTACAAACTAGTCAAATTTGAAGATATACCGTAAAAAGATCCTCACTCCCGTATGCATTTTTCGTATGATAGGTGGGCATATGACTTTGTTGTTCGTAAACGATTGGATATAAAGTAGAAAAGCATTTATTAGGAAAAAAAACTTTTCCAAAGAAAAATGTTTGCGAAATCTTTACTCTCACTTTTTCCGCGAAAATCTTTTTTCTATAAAATTGTTTAGTATCCTATACAGTTTGACGTAGTTTAATGCTCTAATTTCGAATATATGATTTTTGTCGATTAAATATTTTTTTTCAAAACTAGAAAAACTGAAGAATTCAGGTTTCTGTGCCAACAAGGGTTATAGACAGTAGATAGAAAAACATTTTCGCAAAGTTTGGAGGTAGGATTGCTCATTTTTCAGGACTAATGCTTCTGATGATGCTAAAAATACGATTGTAAAGAGTTCGATTTGAAGATTCAGAAGACATGCTTGATTTTTCTGTCGAACAGTTTTATTCTATCAGAAATGAATTTTCTGATGCTATTACAATTTTCAGTTTCTATGAGGATTTTAACAAAGTTATTTTTAGCTGCACCGACTCATATACAGTTATCCATGCAATAATAACAAACCTAGAAAGTTTGTAGTAGATTTACCATAGAATTCAAAGAGAAGGATTTAGTTTTTTCATGGAATAACTCTATTGAAAAAAGAAAAAATTTATCTCATATTTTAGTTCGTCACTCACTTAATCGACCTGATGAACAACAACTTGGTACACGTGCTCCTGCGTGGATTAATGATCTTGATGTAACACGTTGTCAAAATTGTAATAATCGTTTTCGTACAACAATTATTTTATCACGACGACATCATTGTCGTTGTTGTGGTCGATGTATATGTGGTTCATGTTCAACGAAAAAATTACTTCTTGAATATTGTAAAAATGATGGTGAAGTACGTGTTTGTGATACATGTTATACACATTTTACTGGTACAGAATTAAATAAAAATTCAAGTATATGGCCAAAAGCAACACGTGATATTGATCGAACTGTACTTTTTGGTGATTTTCGTACGGTTAATTCCGGTACAAATATATGGATTGCTTTACAAGAAGATTATCAATTACATATATATGGTGCTAAACTTGATCAAGCTGAAGAATATTCTATAGTACTTTCTGATTTAATTGAGTTACATCTTGAATCCGATATACGAACATTTACATTACGTGAAACAACTAAAACACATATATTTGCTATTGATTCAAATCATCAAACAATTTATCAAAAACATGAATTACTTGATGAAAAATTGAAAAATTCCGATAATAAATTAACATTTTATACTAATTTATGGTATGAAGCAATGCAATTAGCTCGTTCAACAACACTTCCTGAATGGTATATAAGAAAACGTGATTCTTCTGATAGTGGTGTGAGCAATGTCGGTTAAAATTACTATTTTTTTTTCCTCTTAAAATATCTATGACAATATGGAGTTTTGTTTCTAAAAATGTGTTTTTTTTTTCCTTTTCTCGTTTTTATATAAACGTAATTTATTCCTCTATATCAAAAAAATGAAAAAAAAAGAGCTATCTGTTTAAAACTATGTTGTAATCTAAAAAATATTAATGACAGAATAAAAGTCTATAAAATTATTTAAAGACCGCCTTGCAGAAAACGATGAAATTCAGCTTGATCTAATGTTCCATCACGATTAGTATCTGCAGTACCAAAAGCAGCAGCAGCTACATCAATTCCGCCACCACCAGCATAACCTCCTTCACCAGCAAAACCTGATGATGCATAATATTGAGAGCCATAACCTCCACTAACAGCATCACTAGCAACTTTTAAACCATATGTACCAGCTTCAGCACCACCAATTACTTCAAGTCCTTCAAGACCAGTAAGTTCACCTTCTGCTGCTGAAGCATCTTGACTGAATGATGCACTTTGACTTAGTGATGCACCTGAATAATCTAGACCAGCATCAATACCATATGTCGATGCACCAAAGTGTGCAGATGCTACAGCAAGTAGTGGAGGTGTCTAAAAGGAAAATTGTTGTTTTTTTTTTTGCGCAATCATATATTGACTTACAATATCTTCAACAACACCAGCAGCACGAGCGTGTTGAAGAAGAGTTGTTGCATCTAAAAGTGATCCACCATAACGAGCAACATAAGCATGTGGACTTTCTTGTACAACACCAAGTCGTTGAAATTGTCGTACGACACGTGCTTGAACAGCATCATAAACAATAATAACATTACGTGGTCTTGGATATTCTCTAGCAGCAGGAGCACGTTGAACAATGACACGACGTTTAGCTTGAGGTCCATATGGAATCCATCGTTCAATAATAATATCACCTTAGAAAAAAAAAAAGAAACAAGAGAATAAAATTTAAAATTAAAATCTAAATAATTGAGATTTTTTTTTCTTACGTGGTTTTGGTGGTAGAGGTGGAAGACGTTCGATGACGACCGATCGTGGTGGAAGGGGTAAAGCAGCCAAACGGCGAATAACTATATAAATGTATAATCAATTATATATAATTATTCAAACGTTTTTGTTTTTTATTCTTTGTTTACCTGTTTGAGTAGCAATTACTGGAGGTGGTACAGGTGGACGTTCACGTAAAACAAGTGGAGGTGGTGGAGGAAGAGGTGGTGCACGTTGACGTACAACAAGGGGTGGCGGTGGTGGTGGTTGAGGTGGACGAATTTCTTTAATGATAAGTGGCTATAATAAGACAAATAGAAATAAATTAAATTAAACAAACAAACAAAAACATTTATTTACGCCTGGTGGTGGAACAGGTGGTGGTTGAAGAAATCGAACAAGAACATTTTGTTTATATATTATTGGACCAGTAGCTGCTGGTCGTCGAATTATTTGTGGATTAGGATCATTATAAAGACCACCAGCTGAAGCATATTGAGTAGTTTGTTCTAAACTACTTGATTCAAGAGCAACACCACCTCCTTGAACAAGTTCACCTGATGCTGCTGCTGCATATGCACTATCAGCTCCATCAATAGCAAAACTACCACCACCAGCGGCAAGACCGCCAGCAACTAAACCACCAGCAGCAAAGCCACCAGCAGATTCAAAACCACTTTCAGAACTGTATCCTGCTTCGTATGCACCACTTCCTCCAAGTTCAGCTAAACCAACACCACTGCTAAAAGCAAGACTAGCTGATGGATCAAATCCGCCAAGTGCTGCTGATTGATATGAAGATGATTCATATGCTCCAGAACCTAAAGCTCCTGCAACACTACCATTGGCAGCCCAACTACGAAATTCTTGTGGATCAATACTAGAAAAATATTTGAAGATTTGTTTCTTCTTTTTCCAATTCTATAAAATAATTATTACATACGTTCCATCATTATTTGCATCAACTTGTGAAAATATTGCTTTAGCTGCATCGAATCTTGCCATTGCTTAATTGCAAAATTTATAAACTCGATATACTTTAATGAGACACGCTCATATTATGATGAGAAAAATCACTTGTTTATATACTCATCATGATATATCAATATACTGAATGTTTAATCAACCGTGATGGACATTGAACCATCATATACGCAGACATAACAAGTATTATTTATATTATACCATAACGATTTGATAAACCTTGGTTTTATCTTTGTGCTCAATCGGCAAATAGCATTAGCTAAATGACATACAGTTTTTACATGGTGTCAAAATTTACAATCTAGCCTTGAAATCATTATGTATTGTCTACCTATATAAACGAAGTCCTTCATAATATCAAATGAGCATTCAAGTTAACATATTCAATAGCACGAGGTCTTTTATTGTGATGTATCATTGAGTATATGACTGTTGAAAAAAAATTGACTGATGCGTCTGTTTCTCATTTGATAATTTCAGTTGTTTGATGCCAAACAGACAAACAAATGAAGCTCATATTTCATTTGAAGAGAAAAAAAATCGAAAGAATCAAAAACTAGTTTACAAGAGAGCGGAAGCAAATGTCATAGATACGACACTTTCACTATGTTTCTTCACGTTAGTAGAGACGTTTACGCTCATCTTTTAATGTCCCTTTTTTTTCTGTCGTCTTTTTTTTTCTTCTATATTCTTATTTCTTATCAAAAAAAACTCTTATGATACTGCGAAGAATTCTCGTTTCTTTTTTTCTTTTTTGTTTTATTCTACTTCTTTTTCTTTCTTTTTTCATCATTTTTTCTTTCTTCCCTCTTCTTGTTGTCTTTTGATAACTGTGGATGGTCGTAATAGATTACCATTATTGAAATAAATTTTATATAACAGGTAAAGAAAAAAAAGAAAAAAAGGGTTCGAATATTTATTTCTAAAGACATTTATATTAGATTGGTTTTTTTTCTCCTCTATGTCATTAAATAATGTCAACGGATTCTAACCAAGCATTATCAAACAATTCACAACAACAACATGAAAATAATTCATCAACAATACCCATCGAAAATAATGGTGAAAATAATTCAACACAAATAGCTATTGAAAATCAAAATGAAAATAATTTATCAACAACACCTATAAATAATACAAGTGAAAATAATTTATCATCAAAAGCTATTGAAAATCAAAAAGAAGAAAATTCATCAACAACAATATCTATCGAAAATAATGATGAAAATAATTTATCATCAAAAATTATTGAAAATCAAAATGAAGAAAGTTCATCAACAACATCTACAAAAACTAAAGATGAAAATAATACATCAGAAATATTCATTGAAAAAGAAGATAAAAATCAATTAAATACAGATATAAATCATACAAATAGTCGAATGAGTTCACGAAAAATGACACAATCACATTCATCAAAAACTTCTGAACGAAGTCCATCACCTAAAACAACAAATGAAATTATAAATCAAAGACCACTTTCACCTATTACTCGTCATCGAATAGATAAACAACAAAACTTTAAATCAACAAATCAACAACGTACTCGATCAAATTCACCACGTAAAACATTTTCATATATTACACCTGATGGTTTTAATTTACGTTATTGGAAACAACAACGTCGTCAATTAGCTAAACAAGAAGAAGATAATCGAATTTATCATGAAAATAGAATAAAATTAGAACGTTTAGCTCGTATAGCTAAAGAACCAAGTTCATATCCATCAATACATGTTGAACAAGAACGTTTACGAGAACGACATACTATTGATTATCGTCGTAAACTTTTAAAAAGTCATATACCTATACTTCGAGAAAATTTATCGATTGTTCATCGTCTTGCTAATGTTCGAGGTGTTTATGATGTTAATAAAATGAATGAAGATTATGCTCGTCATACATTAATTCTTAAACAAGATGCTGCTAATCGACAAAAAGTACGAGAAACAGCAACACAAAGACCTTTTATTTTACCAAAAATTAACGTTAAATCATAAAATAAAATAAACCTATAAAAATCTTGCTTAATTACTTTTTAATAAAAAAAAAAAAAAAGAATGATATAATCAAAATGTATTCTCTTTTAAAAATATTTTTCAATTGTCTAATAAATATTTTCCTTTTTTTTTTTTTCTCTTCTAAATGTTCGAACTCATTGACATGTAAAATTTATTAGTACTCATAAGAAGGAAAAAAAACACATAAAGTTCTTTCGCCCGGATATCATTAATGTCTTATTCATATTGACAATGACAAAATAGTAAATGACATGATCTAATGTTAGTATATATTATTGAAATTAAAACTATCCAATGAAAATAATTATTCATACTATATTTAAGAGAATAAGAAAAATTGTTTTGTTTTTGATAGATCAACTAAATATCCATTCAATAAATTTTATTTCGTGAATAAATTGAATTTAGAATCAGAGTTAATGAAAAGAGTTTCATATAGGTTTTAAGATCTAATCCGTTGCCAGAAACCTATCTTGACCTTAGAATAACTGATCTGACTGAAAGTTTCAAGAAATGTGTGTTTGAGTCTTAACAGTACACTCTAAATAAATCTTCAATGTGACAAGAACTTCTTCTGAAAATCTAATGCTATAGATTTCGAATTGATTTTAAAATGAAGCTAAGATCTGTTGCTACAACTTAACAGAGCCTTATATTTCAAAATATTGTTTTTTTTTTTGTACTTCTGATAGAATTTTCTCTCGAATAGCTAGGATAATTGAATGAAAAAAAAACTATTCTTTTTTTTTCCAAAAACGAACTCGAAAATGAATAGTTCGATTCTGTTAAATTGTAGAATGTAAATTACTCTTCAATGTAAAATCGTCTCAAGGTTACTACCATGTAAAATGGTCGAGAAATGTTTGATACACGAACAGAAGAAAAGAGAGAAATCGAATTTTGGCTTAGAAACTCAAGCTTCTCTCTTAATAAAACGATATAGAAAGCAAACCTTGAAAAAGTATGATAAATTTCGTATGTCATGTTAGATATCGAAGGTTATCCTATCGCATAAAAACTAAATTATTTTGACGAGAATCGTGATTTCTAACTGGGGATAGGTTTTAATTAATGTTGAAAATCTTTTAAACCTTATTTCTAATAGTATATTTTTTCGTTTTTCTGGCATCTCAATGAACCCTATATATATATATTAAAAGTATGATATTGTGTCTTAAACTTGAAAAAATAATGAATCTCTAATCAGATGAATATTTTTTTGCTTCAAATACTACTATCAGATATCCTACAGTATCATTTTTATTATTGATCAATTCGATAACATCATGATAGACATGTCGTATGAAAATATATATTACAGCTTAATTTTCACTACAGTGGTAGTCATTAGAGCCGACAGTAGCGCTTACGAAAAAAATGGTTTCAGAATTTATTTTAGTAATAAAATGTTTTTTTTTTCAGCGTCATCTATGATGAAGATTTATTGCACAATTAAACTCGATTTGTATAGTGTAACTAATATAGACTGCACCGCAAACTTCAAAAAATAGCTAGTAGTCATTATCACATGAAATAATCCACTGATTATGATTAGATGTTTGTGTTATTTATTTCTACCTACAGAGGTCGATGTTATTTTGTTATAAGTTGATGAGAATATTCCGAAAGCACGAATAAAAAAGAATATCAACAGTTCTTTAATCGTTGAAACGGTTTGTAGCTTCATTCGATGGTTATTTAAATTTTATTGTAGACAATGTCATATAGAATTGCTCTTCAAAATGATTAACTTCAATTGAAATATCTTAGTCCTTTTTTGTAAAAAGTTTTAATAGAACTTTGTTCTGAAACTTTAATCAACATCTTGTACAAATTATTTTTAATATATGATTTATTGAGTCTATTTTTACTTTCGGAGGTCTCTTCATCTTTTCGGAGTCTCTAAAGAATGGGTCTTCAGATATATTTGAAACTTTCATGGTAGATAGGGTTCGATCAGTAGAACAAGAATTATCATAGCCTTCAAATTCCCAAACAATGCTATAATGCTAAGCGTACAAAAAATAATTATTAAGAGAATTTTACATACAAAGAATAATTGCAGCACAAGTTTTTCGAGAGTTAGGTTTAATAAAAGTATTCATTAACAACGAAGAGTCCTCATTTATATGATATTCGACATAAAAAAACTTCGACGCTATAAATAAAAATCGAATAAAATTTTACTTTTAATATTCAGAAACGAAGATGATGTGATTTTGTAAAACCGATTGAATAATGCATTCGAATTGATATTTATAAATATTCTCAATTTCATCAGTTTTTCAGATTGAGTTCGAATTTCTATCTTAATAATTTCACAAAGGTCTTAACATTTAGCTCTATTAAATGAGTTATTCAAGATGTTTGTTTTGTAGCACAATTGAATGGCAAGTTTTGGTTTCATAACTGTAAATGATTCGAACTTTTGATCATGACAAAAACTGTAATAACGATGATGTTGATAAACATTAGTATTTTATTGATATTAATTTAAATCAAACTTAGAATAATTCAAAATTCAATCATACAAGTGTTTTTCTTCACAGTTTACAATTCTTTGTTCGATCTAAATTATAAAAGAAAGAAACATGTGTTCATAATAGATATAATTCATGGTATAAACAATCATTCTTTTCTTTCTGTTGAAGAAGAAAAAAAAAATGATCTCCTATTATTATTACAATATGTTTTAGTACGAAAACATTAATCATTCTTTCTTGGCTCTTTCAACACTGGAAGCATTCGCCTCATGATAAGTATTCAATAAATGAGTTCTTGATTTCCTAATGTAATGCTAGATCACATTTCATTCTATACAATATTTCTGTCAACAATTAATGATCATCATCCATCAACATCATTTATAGTGATCACATGTACTTAGACAAAAATTTTCATTTTTTTTAATATCATTTACTAAATTAAATTATTTTATTATCAACTATATACATATTGATTGTTGTTATAACTCTTCAAGTAATAACAAAAATGCAAGATCTCTCTATATTAGGTTTGTTTTGTTTTTTTTTTGTTCTCCATATGTTATCAAAGTATATAAAGAACAAAGCAAATATCATGACATATTTATGTATTTTTCTTTTGTCCTTGTGAATAATCTTTTAGTTAATGTATTTGAAGAATTTCTTTTCTAATTTACTACGAATCACAATCTGATAACGTAAATATATTGATGAACCAATTGATTATTTCTTTTGCTTTCTCATCTGTCAACCCACGTTAATGTGATTATAATAATAAGTCTAAAAAATCGATAGCAATAGTCATAGATATACATTTTTTTATAGTCTTGTTCATGATAAACATACATGAGATAACAAAATTAGTTTGAGTATAAATAAACACATCAAACATATGGGTCAAACATAATCTAGAAGACATCAAATTATTGTTATTATTGTCAGAACATACGTAACCTCTAAAAGGATAAATAATGCTATTAGACATGGATTTTATTATATTTTTAATTTATTCCAGATGTCTCATTCTACTTTTCTAATGACAAATGAAATGCCAACAACTACTGATTGTTGTTTTTAGTATGGCTTAATGATGACCAGCCGATCCAATGAAATTTTACCTATTGGTATTCAATCATCATTATCACCAAAGCCTACAAATAAATCAACTACACGAAATAATCTAAGATTAAAACGAAATTTAAGAGACAAACGTCGCTCAACTGGAATTCATCCTGATGAAGTTTCAGTAGCGGGTATATCATTTGAGGTGATTTTTTTTCAATGAAAACTTTTTTTTTTGTCAATATATGACCATAAAACAATATGCTAGGACACTCCTAATGAAGATGATGAAGACGAAGAACAAGGATCAACATGTATAACTGAAACCAATGAATTATTTGATCATAATCGAACAGTATGAGAAGAACAATTTGTTTATATATTTTCAATATAATATATGTATTTTTTTTAGATGCCTTCTTCTAGTTGTTCTACACCGATTTTTACAGTTCGTCGAATTCAGTAAGTAAATCAGATTAAAAATTAAAAAAAAAATTATTATTCATATTTTTAATAACATAGACCATCATTCGAAAATTTATCAATTTCTGAACCAGGTAAATAAATTCTTAATAAAAAAATTATTTCAATATATATGTCTATAGATTCTCATATAAGCACATCATCATCAAATAATAATCTCGGTTTATCAACAAAAATTTTTCGACCTGAAGAATTTATTGTACGTCGAGTAGAACAAGTATTCTTGTCTTTTAGTTTTTTTTTTTATTATTCTTATCACTTTATTATTTTTCTATTAGCAAACATCAGATGTTGATTCAGTAACATTAAAATTTCGACAATTTGAAGAACGTATTCTTGCCCTTGAATCACTTGTATATGAAAAAGATACTATTATACATGACTTACAACGTAAAATTGAAAAAATGACACGAGTAAATTCATTGTTTTTTTCTTTTACTAAAAATTAATAGATACATTTTTTGCTTTCAAAAGGATTTAACCGATGCAGAAGAACAAATTTATAGATTACATCAAGAAAAATTAACATTGATCAAAGCATTTTCAGCATTACAAGATAATAAACCTTTATCAGGAGATGTCTCAATACGTTCAAATCTAGTAACAAAAGATTAAATTTATAAATTTATTTTTTTTGTGTACAAATCTAAATATTTTGCATATTAAAATGAATATTATTCTATGCATGATAAAATATTATTATTGTTTGTTTATACGAAAAGAAAAATAACGAATTATCAAGATCATTAGTGCAATACTGTAAAAACAAACTCAGAAGAATTTTTCTACTTAGTTTTTGTTTCTCAATCTGAGTTACAAAATCATCTTTAGGAAAGATGATTAAGTCTGATGCTAAACAAAACAGTGAAGGAATATTGGATTTTTGCATTTAAAAGATCTACTATATTACATACTATGTAACCATGATATCTACGAAATTAATTTGTTCTTTACATATGTTGTGTTATACATTGATTTAGTTTCATATTTTAATGCACGGAGTATAATATAAGAATATTAGTATTATATTTCATTTATTTTTGTTTCTTTACTTTTAAAATGAAAAAGAAAAATGAAAGAATTCGATTAGGCTCTTTTATATTTGTCGAGAGTAACAAAAGATATCGTTGCCAATTGATAAAGATATGGTCAAATGAACGTTATTGAAAAATTGCATGACTTTGAACAGATTATTTTATGTTAAGCTCCTGCCCTCTCAAAAATGTCACTTTTCGTCATAATGATCGAAATTGAAATAAATGCAAGGGAAGATAGCCCGTGATCTGGTCTCTCATAAATGACAAAAGTTTTTACTTGGCACCTTGCTTTTTTCGAAAATTTTCGAAGAAAATCAAAAATCTTTTTCGTTTTTGCTCAATTCATGATATCTCGAACGTGCAAACAAAATTTCTCAGTCCAGGACCATGTGATGCATTTAAATTTTATTTTTTGTTAGAAAGGGCATGTCAAGATGCAATGCACCCAAGAGTCCTTTCTTTGAAATAAGCTTTTTTATTATCATATACGAGAATACCTCTATAGAAATGGCACCATTTTTTAGGAGTTTTTTGAGTCATTGAATTTGTCATCCCTTTTTTCACTTAAAAAGTAAGTATTTAAAAAAAAAGGACTCTTTGGTGCACTGCATCCTGACATGCTCTTTCAAACAAAAACAAAAAAAATAAACATGTTATATGACCCTTGACGTAGAAATCTTGTTTGCCAAATTTGCTATTTTTGACCCTTGTTTGGTTCATATCTCTGTCAAACGTCATGGTATCGAGTTGAAAATCTTATCATAGCCTCCCTACTATAGTCCCAACATATCCTGAAAATTTCAGCCAACTTGGCCGTTTCTGGGCTGAGATCAATTTTTGAAGGGAAAGGTCCTTACAATTCAATCCTCTGAAACTCAACGAACCTCATGGATTACAGTAAACTATGCCAGTTATTCTCATACATAAAATACATTTACCAGCGGTGCATAAAGAAATGGTAATCAAAAGTAGAAAAAAGCTCAAAACAATATTGTACATATGTTCACTGTTCAGCATAGGGCATTGTTGACATTACAGATAGTCATTTCCAGCAAAAATCTCGTCTTCAAGTCTGCAACCATTCATAATTGGAAGATGTTTATTCATGAAGATTTTACTAGATTGACAACAATTGTAATTCAGTACGTAGAATATATTAGGTCAGGATTTGAACATTTTCTTTTACGATTCACTTCGAAAGTAAATGCCAGCAAAACTAATTATGGGCTTAATGAAATTCAACGAGATATGCCAATTTTACGTCTACTTCGTTAAAATCCTGTGTGCTATTACTAAGAAAATGGCTAACTCATCTTTTTTTCCATATGAATCTTCGAGAGGAAATGACCTTTGAATTCTTTTCTTTTAGTGAGTTAGCTCACTGGAACGATAGATGACGAATTTTTACAATACCAATTGTTTTCAGCTTCATAGATTTCAACATTTCTATGAAAAATTGCTTTGATAATTGCCATCAACCACAAAGAAATGCCCGACAGCTATCTTCTTTCTACGATTATTTCCTATTTTCTTCACATATATATATATATGTCACAGTATGTATATGAGCAATATTTGGACGATATCATCAAGTAAGAGAGCTATGCTCTATGGTTCTTTCTCCCTTTATAATTCAATTAAATGAGTCCATTGGCGTTATTTTCTTTCATCCAAATCTTCACAATCGATTACACAACAGCACTGTCAACAGAAGAATTGCGCCATCTCTCATTCTTTTATTGTGATTAAATGAAACACACGACAAACAGTAAATTTCTCTCTCCCTGCACATTCGTAAAATGTTAACTAGCAGGGGTCTCAAAAAATAATTCAATGGGACTGGGCTTGTAAACCCTGGAGTCGATAAAGTTCGATGAGTTTCATTTGACACTATCATTCCTTTGGTTGGAAAGTCCTCAGGGATGGATTGCATCAGGTATGAACTAAACGATTAAAGTATCAATCACTAATTAGCCGAGTTCTCAGTGATGAAACAATGAAATCGGTCTTTTGAGGTTTCGGATTCGTAGAGCTCATGAAGTTCTCTCTGGAATCATAGTTAGTGATGTTGCATTAGCTTTCGAGTGGATCGTGACAGATTTTCTTGAAGCTTGCCAGCATTGCATGGAAACCAAAGCAGAGTTAGTAATTTCACTTTCTTTTTACTTTTACAAGGCTGTCGCTGTGGATTGTGGATGGGTATAAATGAAGGGAATATAAATATCAACGCCAAGACCCATAGTCACACCTCTCCTATACTCATACATACCCACACCCTTCTGTAGTTTTAGCTACTGTCACATTAAATACACGTAGGTAAAATGAAAATACACAGATAATATTGAAAAATTGGAAAAAAAAGAGGAAATTAATGTCTCTCACATAAGCACAAGTGACAGCTTGAGCACTTATTTTTCTCATTGTGAAGTGAAATTTGTGACTCCGTCAGTCGATCGAAGATCACATGGCAAAGGAACATTCATCAATATATATCTGTTCACCTCTTTTGCTCACTTTGAAGCAAACATTGCGAATGGATCAGTCGATCGAAGACTACATGAGAAAGGAACATTACTCATTCGACTTCTGTTCATCTGTTTTACTTAGTTCAAATCAAACGTTGCAAGCCGATGAGGAGATCGAAGATCATATGGTAAAGAAACATTGATAATGATATTTCTGTTCACCTCTTTCAGTCACTTCGAAGGAAACGTTGAGTCTCGATTAGCTGATCGAAGATCATACGGGAATGGTTTTATAATGACATGTTGTAAGATCGGTATCAATTATTTTTCAAGATGCTTAAGCAGTTGTTGCAAGTTGCCATTAAATTAAAGATTGTATAGTAGTTAAGTATTCTGAACCAATCTTCTATTCATGAATTTTGCGTACTTACTTACAATGTTCTAGAGTTCATAAAATTGATTGGATGTCAGGTAGCAAATGAATGACATTGATCATCGCTGTATTCGCCTGTTTCACTCACGAAAAAAAAAATTGAAAGTATCAAACAAATTTATCTTTAGATGTTAAATGAATTATCTGAATAAATATTTTCATTTATTTTACTTATTTTGAGTCAAACTATGTGTGCTGATCGAAACTTGTCATTGATCATAGGACAAAAGAATACTAATACCGCTTGGTAAAATAGCTCGGTTCACGAATTTTTGTTTCCTTCATACTATTGATAGAAATCCAGCCAATCGAGTGAATAATTCATGAACAGCGAACAAAAATAACGCATGTTTCGTTCTTCTATAATAATTAGTCCTGCAAACCTAACCATCAAGTCTTTCAAACGAGAGGATTCCTTTGTATAAATGAATAGTCGTATCGCAATCGTTTTTCTTATCTATATTTTCATCTCACTCTGAAGGTTGAATCAATGTTCATTTATCAATGAGAATATAGTATGCTAATCATTTTCAATATAGTGATGTTCATTTATTTTGAATGTAGGGACATGTGGCATCCGAATGGATCAGCTGATGATAGTTGATACCACAGTAGAACAGTGCAAACGAGAGTTTCATTTAAATATTTTTTCGATACGCATATAGAATTAAGTGGATTGTTAAGTCCATTGAGCATCACACCCCAAATAAATTATTTGCATTGACGTTGTCTTCACCTATCGTTTTCATTCATTCAGAAGAAGATTACTAGCTATCGATGTGGAATGAAGATGCATAGTTCATGAATAATCATAATTGGTGTTTCATTCGTCTACGTCAGGTATTTCATTTAGAAACATTAGGTTCATGTTACTGATCACACATCTTATAATAAATCAATTATTATATACCAATGATTTTATTTATTTATTTCTATTCATGATTAAATTAATATTGCAAATTAATGAGCCAATCGATAATCACAAGGGTAGCGATCCACGCCCACAAGAAACTGATGTACTTATTTTGTGGATTTTGCCATCAGACATTTGACTTATTTTTTTCAGAGAAGACGCTATGGATGTGGGGTGTGGGTGGGTGTCAGATGTGGGTTAGAAACCAGCGAAGACTAGGGCTGAAAAATGTTTTTTGTGCCTCTGTAATAGAAATTTATTTACTTTCACAGATATTTAAAGACTAAACAGATGAAAATGAAAGACAAAGGTATTTGATCGTCAGAAAGCAAAGCTTTACTAAAAAAGAAAACAGAAACTCAGAAAAAAAAAGATGCAGATGGATGTGATTGTGGATGCTGTGAGTCGATTGGGTGTACATGTCATTGTACACAAGACTCATCACACAGCATATCGGCGTCTGTATCCATGGTGTGCGCACACTCACTCCCTCACCCACCCACAGCTAATGTTGTAGTGGAAACAAATCACGTTCGAGTTAAGGTGTTTTTTTTATGTGAATAGGTATTTTTAGGGCATAAGACTTTTTGCGCTTTCATTCATTGAAAGTCGCTCTATCTTTTTTGGAACACCATGACCGGTGTTTTCGATGAAATGACTGAATTTTAGTGTATTTATTGCCGGCTACCGTGTCCGTAAATTTGAATCACGTATGGCAGGAACTTTCTGCGTATTTAAGACGGCTTACCTCTATGGGATATCGAAAT